GCAGGGGATAGACACCCTTCCTGTTTACAACCCCCCCCAGCCATTTGCTAAATCATTTTCAGGCTAGACAGAGTAAAGACCAAAATTGCAGCCAGCCTGAGCTCAGTTTTTTATCCACACAGCTGATTGCATCCATTGGGTTGGCAAAACCATCTTGAATGCGTTCGTTCTATACAGACAGGGTAACCGAGCACCCGGTTGCCATGGCTGGTTAGATAGATAGATAGACAGACAGACAGAGTACAAGCAAAGCAAATATACATGTTCATGACACCGATTCTACTGCTGTTCCTGAGATGGAATATGCTCTAGGGGAGATGAGGGGTTTGGTGGGGAACAAATAGGATCTCTGCAGGCACACTCTTCTCACAGCTTCAGTGGTATGTTTGTTGAGGCAGATTAAAAGAATCAGTCTGCATCAGGAGCTGATTGCATCAGTCGGTCTCTTCAGTCTGTCACCGAGACAGCTGCAATTTCCTTCTGCTCAAATCAGAGTGCGTGAATGGAAAGAACAGCCACGGCCTCTGGCCAGATCTGCTTTTGCTGTGATCCTGTCACATCACACAAGCTAAGAAAGGATGGGCTTTACCAGCACCCAGATGGGGACCTGCATAGAAAACCCAGATGCTGCGGAGTGGGGTTAATGGCGCAGAAGAGGAGTACATCCCTTCAGAGTGCTACAAGGTCATGAGAGAGCTCTTCAGCTGATGTGCAAAACTGTGTCTTGAGGTCATTAAAATCCTGACATTCCTTGCAAAAACATTTGTCTGGCGTCCTGACCTCATTTTGGTGCGATTTGAGCCTGCCTCCTTACCTTTCCTTTTGAAGTTTCAAATTAACTCAGAATTCTGCTTCAAAGCTGGAATTAGCCGTTTCCTATTCATACCAGTCTGGTCTATCCTGTTAAAAAGGTACTGCATGTCTCATAGCCACATTGCACTGCTCTGTGATGTGCTTATAACCTCAGGTTGAAGTTTTCTGGACACCTCAATAAGCCCTGGATAAAGAGAGCTTAATTCTCCTCTTCATTCTTGGGACAGTCAGTAACGAAGCAGAGGATAATGGAGGGATTTCACCAAATCACAGAAATCCAAGGTGCCCCTCTAAATCTTCCTCCCCTGGGGCCAGCACGACTCTGTTCCTGTTCCCTGGGGCTTCGTCCCACCTACTTTCAACAGTCCAATGTAATGAGGCTGCCACTATTTCTCTTTGGGAGATCATTTTATGGTCTAGAAGCTGCCTTGTCATGAGGAAACACTGCCCTAACATTCATGCAAAATGTTCCACTACTCAGCTTCATCCCATTACAGCAGCCAGTTTAAATAACAAGCCCCTAGCTGATAAGATATTACGATCCCTTTATTTGGCCTCCTCTAATTGACTCCATGAATCACTGAAAGTGGCTGAATAACACTGGCTGAGCCCTCAGCTTTAATCTAGACCACAACAGCCTGTGGACATCAGACCTGAAAAAGCCAGATTTCCTCCTGCTTTTCACTGAGCGCCCTGCTGCATGCACAGAGCGGCTGCTTTCATCTGATAAAGCAAGTTATTATTAGGCAGCGGGGAGGAAAGTGGGCTCTAGGGGAGCCGCAGCTGAAGGAACACAATGACAGAGCAGTAGCTGGACTGAAGGAAAATAAAAAAAACCCTGGAATAGGACTCCAGCAAGAAGTACAAGCATGTCCAGACTGCAGCCCTACTGCAGAGAGCTGGTCTCCAGGGAGGACAGTACCAGCTGCAGCCCAAGTCCTACTTGTGCCTCCATCACATGCCAAGCACTGAAATATTCCTGCCCACCTGGATCTGTGCAGCTTGAACAAGCAGAGGAAGGGCCTGGTGCATGTTTCCATCCTGGTCACCAGCCTTCGATGCCCAGCTCCTGTTTGTTCGAAAGATGGGATGATTGTCTGAGCCTCTTTTACCTACAGCGTTTCAGGTCTCGGGCTTTCAGGAGAGCTCTGAAGGCATCAGCCCCGTCTGCCTGCGGATTGCTGCATCCCGTGCCGTGGGAGCCGGAGGAGTGCCTTTGAATTTAGTGGCAGACGAGGTTCTTTGGGTAAATCCCAAATCTTTTATTAGGTAAATCTTTTATTAAACCAACTCAAATAGCTGGAACAATTCTTCTTAGGAAGTTTTTGGGCACAAACACCTTTCGCCAGTCTGCGGATGGCTTGTGCTCTTCCTAAATTCCTTGAATTTAGTGGAGGCATGAACTGGACCCTAGTCACAAGAACCCCCCTCCCAGCTGTAATCATCCAGGGGCTGTCCGCACTTGAAAATTATTTTAGCCTGAGGGGAATTAAAAACCCTGTAGCTTTTTTCCCCTGAATACCCATGGGGATGCAGCGTGATTTGTTTGGACTTAAAAGATAAATCCATTTGCCAAGCAAATCCTACTTCTTATCCACGAATAGAAGTGGTCATGCGGGGAGTTGGGGTGGCCATCAGAGAGGATGCCCTGGTTTTCTGCAACTCTGTCCTCTATTGATACGAAACCCAATGCCTTTATGTCCTCTTTAGGACAAAAATAGAGGACATAAAGGCGTCCGGTTTGATATCAATAGAGGACAACCAAACTGTCCTCTATGATGGCCACCCTGCATGGAGTTGCTCCTGAATTGCTTCTTGAATATCCAAGCCCTTAAACTGCAAAGGATGACTCCCCCTGCAACCACCCAGGGCTGAGGGATGCTCGGGTTTTGCAGCAACTTTTAAGGACCTGTTTGCATTGGGGTTTGCCCACGCACAGCTCATACCCACTCTGGGAAAATCCCATCCGCCAGTGGGCTCTCTTGTGGTTGAAATCCTTTAGAAAAGTACTCGCCAGGGCTGTACCCCCCACTCGGGATGGGAGCACATCTGAGCTCCTTCTCTAACCCGGGGCCAAGCGGGCACAGCTCTGCGTGCAGCTCCCTGCTGCGATCTGCTGGCCAGAGCTGCTCCACCTCTTCGGACAGAGCCTGAAACTTTGCAGGGAGACAGAAAGCTGGGCACCAGCGAGCAAAGGGGCTGGAGAGCGACGCACACAACTGCAGCTCCCCCTGCTCCTTTCCCTGCTGTCTCCCCCACCCCAACTTTTCTCTCCCGGACCCCGCGACATTGCACCCCCGCGCCTTGCACAAATCTCTTGCCCTATCCCTGCCCCTCCCCTTCCACTGTTCTCGCGAGAGCCCCACACTCCTCCCTCTAGCATGGCGGCTGCCTGATCCGTCCTGCTCGCTGCACACACACACGCGGGCGCGATGCACTCGGACGAGGTGAGTGTCCAGCCCGCGGGGGGTTGATTCGGTTCCGTCCGCTCTCGCCAGGCAGCTGCGTCGTGGCCAATCAGCGCCGGGCTTTTCGCGTGGATTTGGCTGCGTCCGGCTGGGTCCCTGCCCCTCTCCCACGTGCAAGGCGCTGGGATGGGAGGTCCATGGGCGCAGCCTGTGCATGGATGGAGCTGGTGGGGTTTGCAGGGCCTCTGTGCCAGCCCCATGCTTTGCTGCTGGGGGGCCTGCACCTGCTGGAGGAGGGGATGCTGCCACCTTCCCCAGGCGTGCAGGGTCCTGGATGAGGAGGGGAGCCTGCTGTGCAACTGGGGGGGCAGCACCTATTGCTCTAGTCCTCCTCCACAGGGTGATAGGAAGCTGCAAAGTCTATGCTGCTGCCACTGTCCTGGATCTGGGAGCCTGCTTGAGTCCAAAAGGGTACCAGGGGGCTAATTGCAAGCATTTGTCCCATCAGCTCTGACCTCATCTGTTAATTGCCATGAGCTGGCAGCAGCTTGCCACGTTGGCTTATAGCTCAGCAAGTTGCCCTGCTGCTAGGGGGCTGTTGCAAAGCTGTGTGCACCTCTGAAAGGACCCCTGCTGCAGTGGCTGTAGGGGCTGTGCAAAGCAGCAGTCCCAAGATGTGATTTCCTTGCCTGGCACATCTCTTCTGTGCCTTGGTTTAATCAAAGTATCATTGAAAATAAGGGTTGGAAGGGACCTCAGGAGGTCACATCTAGTCCAACCTCCTGCTCCAAGCATCATCCCAGCCAAAGCTTTGTGGAGCTGGGACTGAAAAACATCCAAGGATGGAGACTCCAACACCTTTCTAGGTAACCCGTTTTAGTGCTTCACCACCCTCCTAGTGAGAGAGTTTTGCCTAATATCCAACTTAAACCTCCCTTGCGTGAAACTACTGCTCCTCCTTGTTCTGGCCTTGTTGCATCATTTGCAAAATGGTTAGCACAGACTCTGCCTCATTTGTGCTCAGGTGGCATTTGATTAGCTAGGCCTCCCAAAATAATCTTGCTGGTGGCTACAGAACCACAATGTGTTATGTTTCAGGATGCAATAACCAAGTTTTGCCTCTCGCAGGTCGTCTGGGACACTCTTGGAAACAAGCAGTTCTGCTCGTACAAAATCAAGTGAGTATTTTAGCGTCCAGCTCTGCGAATTGCTACACGAGGCCTTTGTTGCTACTGGAAGGATGAGTTTCTTGGCCATGGGGACACGCGCTCTCTGAACTGAATAGGTTGTTACCCAGCATTTTAGTTTTGTGCCCAGAAATAACTTAAGCTGTCAGGCTGCTTCAGGAAGGCAGCACTTCCACAAATGGGGGGTTGAGGGTATGGTTTTGCAGTAGTTTGGAATGACAAACATCAGGGAATCCAGAACTGGTAGGAAATAGGTCCTTGACTCATCCCAGTAATGCTTAGGTGAAAGGAAGCTTGTTTCAGTATAGTGCATGGATATTAATTACTTACAACAGATCCTAAAAGCCATGGCTAAGTCAGAAGTCTGCCTGTGACTTGCTGTATAACCCTTTGTGCCTCTGTGACTCAGTTTCCCTGTCTGTAAAGTGGAGATGATGATCCTCATTCTCACCTTGGCTGTTGTGTAGTCGAGTGTGCTTGTATTTGTACAACTCTGAGATCTGTGAATAGATACTTCAGTGCTAGCGGCTCATAGAAAATCTCTTCCTTCTAGGACAAAGACCCAGAATTTTTGCCGCAATGAGTATAACTTGACGGGTCTGTGCAACCGGTCATCCTGTCCTTTAGCAAACAGCCAGTATGCTACCATCAAAGAAGAGAAGGGTAAGACTGTCATGCTCCATCATGGGCCTTACTACCTGTCCTGGTCCTGTTCACTCTAATCACAGACAGCATTGTTCCCTTTCCCCCCACCTGGCATGTCCCTTTGAGGCTTCTCACTGCTTGAATGCATACGTGTTGTTAGAGGATCCAGTCAGCTATTCCCAGATGTGGGAAGTGCTGTATGTTAGATAGCTGCTGTACTCCATCCCAGCAGTGGCTGCCTTTCTGTGGGGCAGTCTGTGATGCTCCTTGTGGGGAAAAGATCATCCACCTTTGAACCCAGTGGGGTCTCCAAGAAGGTGGTCAAGTTGATCTGATGCCATTTGATCTGATGGGTAGGTATTGGGAGATGGGTCTGCTCAGTGGCTGGAATTGGGTTACTCCTTGGAGCACATGCCCTTCTGATCTCCATGAGAGGCTGATGTCAAACTCTTTCCTGCATTCAGACTGATATGCCTTGCTCCAGAGGCAACTGTCCCAGAGCTGAGGGCTTCAGCAGTGACTTTAATGTGCTAAACCTGGCTTACAGGTTGCAGTGTAGCTGAGATTACGTTTATTGTTCCTTTAGGTCAATGTTACCTGTATATGAAGACCATTGAGCGGGCAGCCTTCCCCAATCGGCTCTGGGAACGGGTGAGTGAGAGGGAAGGTTATATTAATCTACCAAGAGCAAGACTTAATACAACTAGCATGTGGGCATCTAGCATATGGGACATCTTTTAATAATAAACCACTCTTCCAAAAGAACCCAACAGCTCCCTGTTTAAACTGTCCCAGGGACTGGTTCTCAAGCCAGGATACTGACAGCTATCCCTCTCTCCGACAGGTCCGGCTGAGCAGAAACTATGAAAAAGCTTTGGAGGAGATAGACGAGAACCTCGTCTACTGGCCGCGCTTCATCCGGCACAAATGCAAACAGCGCTTCACTAAGATCACGCAATACCTGATCCGCATCCGGAAGCTGACACTCAAGCGACAGTAAGTGAGGGCTTATCGTTTTCCTTCCTCCCCACTTTTAGTCTATGCCCTCTCCTTCCTGCTTTCCCTGCAGGAGTTATAACATGCCTCTGTGAGGCCAGTTTTTACCAGGCAAGAAGCATGGAACAAGCCAAGTCCGGCCTCTGAGTTAACATTTGCTCATCTGCTGTACGCCAGTGGTCAGCAGGCTGCAGTTTCATCAAGTGTACCCTTCTTTGTCTTTTCTCACAGGCGGAAGCTTGTTCCTTTAAGCAAAAAGGTTGAAAGGAGAGAGAAAAGGAGAGAGGTAATGTGACCCCTGCCTGTAGTGTCCCAATTCCCTGGCCCCTCTGCGCTGTGTCTTTGGAAATGAATGGACTCCAGCTTCTCTTTCCCCTGTTTCTAGGAAAAAGCCCTGATTGCTGCCCAGCTGGATAATGCCATTGAGAAGGAATTACTGGAACGACTGAAGCAGGAAACAGTAAGGCTTGCTGCCATCTTTGTCTTCTAGCACAGAGGCCATGTCCATCTTGTGCTCCTTCTAAGAGTGCACGAAGCTGCCCTGATCCCAGCCCATTCTCCCACCGCTGTCCTTGCTAGCAGGAGTTTGCTTAGGGTAGCAGGTGCATTCAGGTTGGGGGAATTAAGAAGGGGCTGTTTATATAGCCATGCTGCTCACCTTGGGAATGTGGCTGGGATGAGGAAATCTGTGATATTCATGAGACCAGAACTACTGCTCAGTACCTCTGTGCTCAGCTTCATGTACATTTCTAGCTGCATTTATAGCAGAGCTTTGAAGAATCCCAGACCGCAGGTAATGGTGTGGTACAGAAACATGCAGGAGAGCTGCCTTGGTGAATAACCTGAGCAGACTCTCCTGCCAACTGCAGTCCAACCCTTTGCTTCCCCATAGCCATCGTTTTGGGAGGGTCCACTCAACACCTGCAGCAGTGCCAGAAGAGCAAGGAATATGCCCTTGAGCTAGAACTGATCAAAAAGTTCCTTTGGGAAGGCACTGAAACCTGAATTTAATCTGTCCTTCTGCTCAGCTTTCTACTTCTGAGCAAGGAAGGAAGCTCAGGCTCCAGAGCTCATCCTGAGATCACTCCCAACCTCCAGACCAGGCGCAGATCAGGTTGTTGTACAACTTATTTTTCCATTATCTGGTATAGACAGCTCCTGCTCAGCTCCTGCTTTTTGACCTAAGCCTCAGAGGGGCATTACCAATAGCACCTGTTCACAGTTCTCAGACATCTGATGATCATGGTTACCTTCCTGGCAAAGCAGGTATTTGTAAATAGATCATGGCTACTTACCTGGTAAAGCAGGTATTTGTGTGGTTTTTTTTTTTCTTCCAGTATGGGGATATCTACAACTTCCCCATTCATGCTTTCGACAAGGCTCTGGAGCAGCAGGATGCAGAGAGTGAGACAGACTCAGATGTGGAGAAGGAAGAGGAGGAGGAAGATGAGGTAATGCTTTGAAAAATAGTTCAAGGCAGGATGATTAAAATTCACCCAGTGTGGTGTTGGATCCACGATATACATCTGTGCGTGGGATCTGAATATTAACCCGTCTTGGCATGGTAATGTGAGGAGTGTGAATTCTCCGGAAGAGGGGTGCATGAGTGGGCAACTGCAATCTATTATTTATTCCTCCATGTCTCCATTCCCTTTTCAGCCTTCCTTGCTTTTTTTGTTAGAGGGCTATGCAGTAAATCACAGTTGGATTCATAATTTGGTTTGTAGAGCAGACCCAGAGCCCTCTGCAGAATCCATTGTTGCATAGAGGTCTGGTTGCCTACTAATTTTCAAACTTCTAAATGATTTTGGACATCAGTACCTGCAAGATTTAGGCCCACCAAGTCAGGTCGAGAGCTACTGGCCACTTTTGCAGAAGGTGACACAATGCATGTCACTGCTGAAGACTGAATGTAACTTGCTGCCTAGCAAAGGCTTGAGGTGAATATATTGCTAATTGCTACAGGTGCATGGCTGTTAGTTTGTTGTTCGTAGTCTCTCTATGTAGGAAATGAGCCACAGTGCCATGAGCTCTTCTGTAAAGATCAATCCAGGCCTATCCATTGCTGGGCCTAAGCCCTTAAGCAATGACGTCCTAGAGCCTTTTTGTGGTACACTCAGTTTCTGACCTGCTGTTTTACAGGATGCAGACAAGAGGGAGTTTGTGGAAGTAGATGAGAGTGACCTCAGTGACTTCGAGGTATGTAAAGCACTGGGCTAGGGCAGATCCCACTATGTATCACGTGTGAGAAAAGCAACATCCTTGTAAAGGTTTGTTAGAAACCAGTAAAAGCTGAAGCTTTAAATTTGAAAGTTTACAATAACTAAGAATGTCAAATGAGTGCAAGTTAGACTCCGATCCTCTTGACACGCAGTCGTCCTACAACTGACTATTTTGTCTTTCCACTTCAAAGCACCTGCTTGTAGATCAAAGGTTTGTGGCTGGGATTAGTAACAGAGCAGCTGGATTCATGTTTAATAATATGATCACACTGTACTTTGTCCCCACCAGTGCCCCAAAGCCACCAAAGGTTAGAGAAAAGGGAGCTAGGAAACATCAGATCAGAGTAATATGTACAGTTCTGTAGGGAGTGCGGGTTTAGGTCCACTCTGCAATGAGTATTAACAAGCTCTTTCCCCTCCTGCCCAGGACATGGATAAACTGGCAACAAGCAGCGAAGAGGATGATAAATCCTCCAGTGAAGAGGAAGAGACAGAAACAGAGGAAAAGGTCCGCCACACCAAATCCAAGGGCAAAACCCCACTGAAAGGCCCCGCCAGGAGAAAACGAGCTTATGTTGAAATAGAGTATGAACGAGAGACAGAACCTGCCTCCAAATCAAAAGCTACCTGACTCCTGCCTGGCCGGGTTTAGACTGGAGTTTGGGGTTGGACAATTGGACTTGGAATCCATCACTTTTCAAGGACCTCTGGGGGTGGAATACTTCCTAATACATCTAGTTCAAGGATTTTTTAAAAATTATTATTTAAACAAACAAAAGATTGTTGATAGCCCTTGACAAAAGCCAGCAGGAAAGAACTGTGGCTACTGAAGAGGAAGGAAAGGGAGTAAAGTTGCAAATGGAGAGGATCTTGACATGGCCTAAGTGTGTTCAGATGTAAGTGGCCTGATCTTTAAAAGAGTTACTGTGTACTAAAAAGAGGCCAGTGCTCCCTCTTCAATTCCAATCGAAGGCTGGACTGTACAGTGTATTCCTGTCAGACGCACAGACCCTGCTTTTTGGGGGGGGGGTTCTTATCTGCCAAAGCACACAATTATTTTAAATACAAAATATTTTACTGTATAAATATCAGGCTCTGGTGAGCAGCTGCTGTTTCAGGTGTCTTCCTGCACCCTCCTGATGCACTCTCGCATGGTGTTGTCCTCACAGCTGTGGTAGATGCCATCCAGCAGGATCTAAACAGGAAAGCACAAGCAGCAGTCACTGCATGAGGCTCCTTCTGATGCTGAGGATGTGGCTCAGGCGTTACCATAGGGATGAGAACCAGCCTCCCTCTACTTCCAAAGGTCTCCAAGTCCTCCATGCTGTGGAGTTGGACAGGAGCATTGCATAGGGACTGGCAGACAGCATGTCTCGGCTCTCAGAAAGCTTGACAATCATATGGCCGGGCTGTTTAGTTATCAACCCTACCTACCTACCTACTATCCTAGGAAGGCAAGCAAAAAAAAAAAAAAGTCCCTGCCCACGGCCCTGTCTGTTCTAGTAGCTACAAGCAATTTGACTTTCCCTTGTAAGAAATTGGGGCAAGAAGAGTCAGTGGAGCTTAGCTAGAGCCTCTGTCCCCGCTTGCTCACCTTGACTTGCCCCTCTGAGCAACGATCCAGCAGGATGAGGCAGTCAGTGGCACCCTGGAGCAGGGCTGTTTTCACTGTCTCAGGTGTCAGGCTTGTGTCAGTCTGTACATCCCACATCATTCTGAGCAGGGCTTTGAGGAGCACGCTGAGCCTGCACAGCATCCTGCAGTGGAAAACAGCATGTGCTCTTCTTCACTCTGCACAGCCTTGGTGCAAGCCTGGCCTAACCGCTGGCCAGCAACAACCAAAGGCAGGGCAGTGCCTGCCTCCCAGTCACCTATACCTCTTCTAGACAGCCACTGACTTCAGGCAAAGCATCAGTCTCCAGTGGGGGTTAAACAATACATTGAGGACAGAAGGCATGAGAAAAACCCATCTGAAAAGCAGTGAAGGGAGCTTAGAACAGCACCTGCCATGTGTGCCCTGGGCAGGAGCTGCTCTCCAGGACAGCTGCAGAGTGTTTTCCTCTTACACATTTAACAAGATTTGAGAACTTTACTCAAAAGCAGGCAAACCTATGGCTGATAACAGAGTGGCAACAGGAAGCTGCTTGTTTGACTACAACCGCCAGAGGGAGCTTGTAGCCCTTGCTAAGAGCTGCATACAAGGGACCAGCATCCAAATGAAGTGCCACTCCACTCATCACAGGATCTGCAGACAAGAACCAGGCCAAGACCTCGCTTAGCTCTTGGGCTACATGTTTCTCAGCTAGGGAGCACATCTGTTAGTGATCTCACAGCTCTGAGGGGAAGTACAAGTTATGCACCATGCTTGGTGATCCATCCCTCACTAGCACCAGGGTTTGCCCTTGATTGGAGGGTGGAGGCAGTCCCATTTTGCTGCCTCCATCTACTGTTTCTTAAAGATACCTTGGCCAGGCATGCTGTATGGTGCATTTCAGTGTCTCCAATATCCCCAGTCTGGCTTCCTCCTCTGGCCCATCACAGATCTCCAGGTATGCCACAATCACTTCCTCCTCTGGCCCATCACAGATCTCCAGGCATGCCCCAATCCCCCGCTCCAGCCTCTTCAGATGACGTGCTATCAGGATGCCATGTCTGCCAAGACAAAGCAGCAGGTATTTGGAGGGAATGGACCCTGGAGACAGGAGTCTGTGCAGGAGGTGGCTGTACATGCACCCCTTCCTTGCCCTGGCACACAACAAGTCACTGGAGAGGCAAGGTGCTGGCTCTCACCTCTCCACAAAGGCAGGCAAGGTGTGGGCATACGCTCTCCGCAGCGCAAGCCGGTGCTCCGCCTCCATATGGGTCAGAACCAGCTGCAGCACCTCGTCGGAAGGTGTAGCTGGCCTAGTCTCCTTGGACAGCTGCTGCGGAGATTTCTCTAGTACAGGCAGCAAGTCCAGCAAGCACAGCAGCACCGCCTGATACAAGGAGGAGGAAGTCAGTATGCTGCAGCTCTGGTATTCTACACTGTCTGTGCACTAGGGGAAGGCATGATGTTCCCTTCATGGCCCTGCCCTTCCTGGGCTCTCACCTGAAACTGCCAGCAGGCAGACCAGAAAGGAACATTACCCTTGAGAACTAGCCACAATCCAACTCATTTCACTTTGCAACCCTTAATAATAACCTGAAGTGAGATTAGAAATGGGTGTCTTAAGTGGAGTTTCAGAGCCCATTCCCAATGCTTTGAGCCAGCCAGTCCTGCTGCCGTTTTAGTCAATGAAGATTTAGATTCAATTCCAGCAGCTTACCTGGATGAGCTGGGCTTCCCGGGAGTAGAGGTGGTTGTACAGAGCATGGTACACAACCTGAGCTCTGTTAAACTGGCACAATTCAGCAGCTGGCTGCAACAGAGGAAAAAAGCATGTATTCCCATGCACCACTTTCAGCAGATCCACACAAAGCTGATCCCTACAGCCACGTCAGAAAGAGAACAGCCTCCTTGCTCAGCCATGCTCCAGAGCACAGGGAGATGGCAACTGCAGATTTGGGTTTTACAAAGTTGGGTTATGGAAATGAACCTTGGAGGGACAAAGTTAGCAAGACAGCTGGTGATTAGAGAGACCTAGGGCCCATGATAACGATGCTTTCCACTGACTCACTGAGTGGTCTCACTCAAGTCGCTGGATTACCGAGGCCTTTTGTTTTTAATCTTTTTATAACTGGGAAAACATTCACTGGCTCAGCAGGGGTGTAAGAGGGGAAATATATATCTGCAAAGTCCTTTGAAATATGCCAGTGAAAAGAAAAGGATTACTACCATTAGTAAACTTGAGCTCTAGCTCCTGCTTAAAACACATGAGAATGGACAGCAGCACATGAAAAGCCCCAGGTTAACCAACATAAAATCTGAGAACCCCACAAAACCTAGCACAGGCAATGGGGAACACAACTGATGCCAGCTGGAGATTTGCCTGGCAACTTATAAATATCCTTGATGGACACCCAGGTTTGTTATGATTCATACACAGATGGATATGGATAGTTCCTGGCTGCCATAATTACTGCAGTGTGAGCACTGCAGCACGATGAAACGAGGACATGGTGTGCCATCTCTCCTGTCATCCCAGAGCTTAATACTAGAGCCAGGAATAGGCATCAGGAGGCCTGACCCACCCACAATTTTCAGCTCTGACCAATTTCCCCACGTTCCCCAACAGCAGCCTGGTTTCTCCTGTGCTGGGCACTGATCCTTCCTTACCACATTGAGGATGATGTGCTGCAGGCAGAGCACACCTAGGATTTTATTCTCCTCCTGGTAATCATCAGAGATCAGCAATGATGCGGGGAGAACGCTTTCCAGGTAACGGCTCAGCCACGGCCGGGTGACCTGACGCAGCGTCTGGGAGAATACATGCTTTGTGGCGGGGTTGCATCTCCATGTCTCTCTGGAAACATGGGAAAAGCAATCACCGTGAGTATTTTGCAGCAGCTCTCACATCAACCATGATTCAGCCCATAAGCCGGGACTGGCCTCTTAGCCAGTTAAATCAAACCATTTCCCTAGTTAATACAAATAGCTCCAGCTCTTTTCAGAGCCCCTCACACTTCAGCCAACAAGAAAATGATGAAAAGGTCTCCAAGAAGAGAACAGAGAGGAGACACCAAGTAAACCTCATACTAACACTTCTTTTTTCTGACAAGCCACCAATGATTTTGAGGAATTTAATCGGGGGTGAGGGGAAGGGTCTGAGGTAGCTGTGGCCTAGTTTCCTGCAAACGGATGCTTTAGTCAGTGGCAAATATTCCACTGATTGCAAAGGGAGCTGCAGCCCCAGACATGCACACTATTCAGGTGGTTAACACCTGCCAAACCAGGCCAGAGAGGCAGCCAGCAGTTTGCACTGCGGAGCCAATCCATATTTCCTAGGGGAAATCCGGTATTTGCCCGAAACTGATTCTCTCTAATCTGGATGCTCCCAGTGACCCCCGCTCCCTGCCCTGCCCTTGGAATACAGCTTATTGCTGAAAGCACCTGTGCTTCGAGAGACTTTGAACTCGACTAAGGTCCCGCAGCACCCTGTATGTCCCTGCAATGCCCCCAGCAACCCCTCAGGACTGCCATCCGGTCCCTGTGATCCTACTCACTTGGTCAGCTCTGGTTTCAGGAGCCCCATCACCGCAGCAAACCTCCCCGCCTCATCTTCATTCGTTCCCTGGAGGAACTCAGCCACTGACCCGCAACCTGCAGCCCGAACCAAAGAGGCCAGCAGCTCCTGTGCCACTGACTGAGACCTTGGGCTGGTCCATGGCCTCTTCATACAATGTGTTGCAGCAAAGACGTAGATGGGCCCTGCCACGTCGCACAGGACTGGATCCACCACTGTGGGACCCAGTGATGCCAAGCCCTTGGCAACTTCCACTTTTGCAAGGAGGCTGAGCAACACCAAGCCAACATCAGCCACTCGCTCAGCCACCGCGGCATAACAGGCATCGTGGCCAGGGAGGTCCCCGGCATCCCGCTCCAGCTTCGGCAGTGCTGCATAGCAGCTCAGCGCCCTCACCACATCCCCCAGCACTTTGAGGCTGGGGGGTGGGAGGGCGCCTCCAAAAAGCCAGTGGCAGTCTGCAGCCTGGAAGAGCGCGCTCAAGTCCCTGAGCATCCCAGCCTTGGTGCTGCTGCGGGCTCCCCCGCCTGAGAGCAGCAGCAGGAGTTGGGACAAAACTTGTGGTGCTGGCGGGACGGAGGAACCGGGCTGCCCGGGATCTCCCGGCTCTTGCTGGCTCTCCAGCTTCAGGGATGCCAGCAGGCTGCTGAGCTCCATCACCCTGAAGGCAGAGGGGCTGCCCCCCAGCCCCAGGCCTGTCGCAGCTGTGGGGCCAGAGCTCCCAGGAAGCCTGCAGCACCAGGGCAATGAGGGGACCCCAATCCCTCCTGTGCCTCCACAAGTCAGCCCTGCCCCTGGGCTGGGGTCAGCCCCTGGTCCCCTTACAGGGCAGGGTCCTGGCTCCCCTCCTGTGGGGCTGGCATAGAAGCAACCCCCTGCAGCAGGACAGGAGCTGGGACCCCACGCGATCCCTCCGGGGGGCGGTGCTCAGCCCCACCGCGGGGTGGCACCAGCTCCCAGCCGGCCACCCGCAGCAGCTGGCACGCACGTGGTCCCCTGACTTTCCCGCACGGTCGCAAACCCTGCCGTAAAGCAGAGCGCGAGCGCCGCGCCGCGGAGAGGCGGGGTGGACGATGAATAATATTAGCATGCGTAATGAGCCCGCGGCTCTGTCTGTCGCTTAGAGGGTCCGGGGGAGGATTAGAGGCAAAGTTAGGGTCGGAACCGAGCAGAAGCGGCTGTCTATCGCTGGGCTGGAAAAGTATGAAGAGACATATTGAGAGGATGGGGGAAATGCCACTATCATATAGTCACCCTAACTTTTAAATTGCAGGCCTGGACTGTCTCCTATAGTGGAGGAAAAGCCTACCGATCCTTCAGGTTCATAAATGTGATGAATGGGGTTGGCACGCGCCTGCGTGATATGTGCCGTCCTCTTGTTACGACGGGGCACATTACCCATCTGACCTGAACCTGGGGTCCTTGGCGTCACTGTCGTTATCTTTGGCGTCATGGTTCTAGAAGCATGAGGTTGGGAAGTGAGCGAGAAGGGGCTGATCTGTGTGATGTATAAATGGGTATGTGAAGTCATGCTGTGTGCAAATGTGAGAAAAATGCAGGGGTTTATGATGTAATAGAAGGGTCGGTGATGTCACACTGCGTTCAAATGTGGTATGAGAAGGATAGTAGGTTAGGAGGTAATAAAGGGGTTTGTGATGTCACACTGTGCTCAGATGTGAGACTGATACAGGGGTTTACGATGTAATAGAGGGCTCTGTGATGTCACACTGTGTTCAAATGTGGTATGAGATGTATACTTTAGGTTGTGGGGTAATAAAGGGGTTTTTGATGTCATGCTGTGTTCACAAGTGAAAATGATACAGGGGTTTACAGTGTAATAGAGGGGTCTGGGATGTCACACTGTGTTCAAATGTGGTATTAGAAAGGTACCGGAGGTTATGAGGTAATAAAGGGGTTTGTGATGCCATGCTGAGTTCAATGTGGTGTGAGAATACAGGAATTTATGATGTAATGGAAAGGTCTGTGATGTCACACTGTCTCAGACCAACACGGCTACCAAGCACACCCCTGAGAATGATACAGGGGGTTATGATGTAATGGAGGGGTCTCTGCTGTCATGCTGTGTTCAATGTGGGATTTATGATGTAATAGAATGATCTGTGATGTCACACTGCGTGCAAATGTGGTGTGAGAAAAATGCAGGGTTTATGATGTAATGGAGGGGTCTGTGATGTCATACTGTTCAAATGTGGTGTGAGAACAATACAGGGTTTATGGTGTAATAGAAGGGTCTGTGATGTCACACTGTTTTCAAATGTGTGAGAATGATACAAGTATCCAGGTTGCAGCCATATTGGTCTAGAGGGAAAGGCAATCCGGACTCGTAGTAGAGATGACATTTTTATTAGACCAACTGGATTTTTGCAAAAAACATTCTTTAATTGCAAGCTTTCAGACACAAACACCCTTCAGCAGGGATTGGAGAAAAGATTGTAAAAGTTCCCCTGGGTAGAAATGAAAGTTCATATTTCATAGGATTTCACAGAGGAGTCAAGAGATGGAAAACTCCTCTGGGCAGCCCGTTCGTAGCTGGTCTGGAGCCTCTCACCTCCTCTGAGGATCTGTCATGATGCAAATTACCTTGAAACAAAGGCAGGATCTCAGGTTTCAGGTGGTCACAGTTGCTTCCTGCTTGTGAAAATATGAAGATTTCATTTAAAAAATCGGTTAAAATTCAATATCGTCCAGGTGTCAGGTATCCAAGTTATAGCCGTATTGGTCTAGAGGAATGATACAGGGGTTTATGATGTAATAGAGTTGCATCATAACCCCCTGTATTTAGAATTGAGGATCTAAACCCTTGTTTAGAATTGAGAATGATACAGGGCTTAATGATGTAATAGAGGGGTCTGTGATGTCACACTGTGTCCAAATGTGGTGTGAGAACGATACAGGGGTCTATGGCGTAATAAAGGGGTTTGTGATGTCATGCTGTGTTCAATGCAGCGTGAGGATCATACAGGGGCTGATGATGCAATAGAGGGGTCTGTGACACCACGCTGTGTTCGAATGCTTTTGGTCCTATCCTCCTCCCACCCCTTTTGGTAAACCTGCTCTAGCACCAAAAGGTAGCATTGGGATCAAGGCTCTGACCCATTTTCTTACTGCTCTTTCTCAAGTAGCAACTAGGTAACAGACTGCAGAAGGTAGTAAAGCACTGGAACAGGTTACCCAGAGAGGTGGTGGCATCTCCATCCTTGGACATGATTAAGACCTGGCTAGACAAAGCTCTGGCTGGGATGATCTAGTTGGGCGCATCCAGACGAGCGCGCACGTATCTCTTGCCCTGCCTCAAACCCCTTTGAGGCAGGGCAAGAGGCACGTGTGGGAACGAAAAAATGTTCCCCATGCTGCAAGTTTACAGTGCAGGTAGAAAATTAGACCCCTCCAGGGGTCTAAAAAAAACACTCTGCAGTGGAGTGGTGCAAGGCACGGTCTGGGACCAGCAGGGACGCGCCCCTTCTGAGCAGCACCCCCACAGGGTCCCCCACACCCACAGTCCCCCCAGCTATCACCCCACACCTACCCACATCCTTCCACACACACCCACCCACCCACCCCTTCTCACCCTCTTCCTGCAAACACCACATCCCCCATCACACACCCATCATGTGTGAAGAAAACCAAAAGCACACATCAACACGTATAGGTATTTAGAATTTAGTTTTTACATGATGATAGAGACACTGGTAGGCTTCCGCATTGCTTTAACATTGCAAATATACCAATAAAGCATTGCCCAGCTGATCACTGTCTCTCTGTCTCTCTATAGATGTGTGTGCATGTGTATGTGTAGAGTAGTTTTTTGTTTTAACTGCGGAAGACCATGGATTTGGGGGTATTTTTAAAAATGGATTTGGGATGCTGCTGCAGCAGTCCAGCTGGCACAAGGGGTAGTGTCCCCAGGTACCAATTGGCCGGGCCCCAGAAGGCCCTGAGAGCAAGTAGCCCTAAGCTGCTTGCCAGGGCAGCTTTTTGTATGGATGGGGCCAGGACAGGGCAGGGTTTTATACTGCATGAGACAGCACAGTTGCTGGCCCCAGCCTCTAGCTCCCCCTGGCTGCAGATCCGGGAGGAGCCAGGCAGGGTTATTTTACCCCAAGTGGTACAGTTTGCTCCACGACAAAGTGCATGTCCGAGCACATGCGCTGAGGCAAAAAGCCCCAGCTCAAATTTGCACCACTTCTATTTGAGCTGCTGTAAGTGCACATGCTTGCATGTGTGGACGCGCCCGTTGGGGCTGGTCCTGCTTTGAGCAGGGGGTTGGACTAGATGTGACCTCCTGAGGTCCCTTCCCACCCTTATTCTCTATGAATCTATGAATAATAAGCACAGACTCTGCTTATTCCTTTCCAAGCACTTCTCAAGGGTCTCCACAGAGACCTCTTTGCAGATCAGGAAAAATGACTAGGTCAAACCATACAGGCCACTAGCAGAGCTTAGGAGTCCTGGCTACAAACTCTTTGTTTACCCTGCCAGACCAAGGGAAACATTTTAAAAGATGCCAAATTCGACGATCACCGTTGTATTAAGCATGTAAGAGAATCGGACTCAGACTTCTAGACCACGTATGCACTTTGGAAAATTTTGCCACGACTCTGGATTTGAAGATTTTTGTTTCTGGCCCACGTAGGTTCTTCAAAGGGCGATTGGGCAGGGCATTTTCCCTTTCTGCGCTCAAGTTTTCACTTCTGTAAAAGAAAGAAAATACTTACCATTCTTGACAGTAGCTAAATTCAGTGATTTTTTTCCCCCCTGAGTTACATGGGTTGAATGCTGCAGTTTTCCTCTGGGTGGTTGGTTGTAGCTGTGTTAGTCTAAGGACATAGGCAGGCAAGTTGCTTTGAGTAGATGTGATCTCTTTTTTTAGACCAGCTGAGTAGTTGGGGAAAAGTTTCTTGGCAAGCTTTTGGGTGCAATCACTCTTCTTTAGGCATAGGGAGTCTCTGCAGTTTTCCCCTGCAGGTTCTATTGGATATGTTTATGTAGCAGTGTCAAACCACTAAGAAAGCCCAAGAGAGACTTATTTCCTGAGCTAACCAGGCTTCTTCCATATATTGCATGTTTAATACATAGGAATGTTCCCAGTTACAACCAGTAGATGGCAGCAAGGAAGGCATGACTTCATTCCTAACCTTGCCAGCAATATTGCGATCATAAATACAGCGAACAGCACTGGGGACGTGTTGTGCTCAGAGGACTAACCCATCTCTCCTGCATAGCTTCCTTGTTCTCATCTGTCACTCACACAGCAAAAATGAAAGCCAGAGCTAGTACTGGAAGAGCTGGGAAAACTATGCACCCTAAGGTTTGTTTGATTTAAGGAAGGGTGAGAATAGAGACTCGGATCCTGCAACAGTCCCAGCAGCTGCTAACCCCTAATCTCATTACCCTGCACGAAAGGGTCCCAGAAGCTCTGAGGCACGCTGACCTAAAGACACGTTTCATCGAGTGGCTTAGCACACAGGTTTGTGTGCAAAGTAACTATCGGTACCCGATCAAACCACACTCACGGGGCCTTTCCATTCTCTTTGTTTGAGTCTCTATTTGTGCGTGATGACACACAGCAGCTGACAAACTGCAAAACTCAAAAAAGACCCTTCTGGTGTGGCAGGAAGTAAGTGTCCACATCGCATCCACGGCGCCTTCATTTGCAAAGTCAGATGTCCCATATCCTGTCAGACTGGTATCTTTTAACCAGTTTGGGTTGTTTTTTTTTTCTTTTTCTCTTGCTGTTGAAATTTGGGGTCTGGGGCCAAATCAGTTCTGAATGCTATTGAGCTTGGTTGTTCAAGCCTGTGTGGTGCAAGTATCCTGCCTCCCAGACTCTTCAGCCTGGGGCTCCCAAATCCATGGCCGGCATCCTACATGCAGACCCCAAGCCTTGGAGCTTAGATGCTCCCTAGTTTCACTTGCCCTGAGCCAAAAAGCTGAAGGAGCAAGCTAGAGGGAAAGCCAGAGAGCAGCCCCCCATCACCATAAATTGTGTAGCTGAGATCCTCCTACTGGCAGGCTTTAGTAGACTCTGGCAGGGGTGCCTGCTCACAAGGCAATGCACCCTCAACTACACCATGCCATTCAAGGCTGAGAAGAAGGGGATCTCTAAGTAAAACCACCTGGGCTCAAAACCATGCTCATGTTATCTTCCCTGCCAGGTACCAGTGTGAACTGTAAGATACAGCGAGGCAGTAACGTCCCTCCCAGTGCATTTAACAAATTGAACTTCACAGGCCGCACGAGGTAAGTGTTGTGGCCACTTTATAGAAGAGGAAATGGAGGCACCAAGAAGTTGTGGCCGGTGAAGAGATTGCTCAATGAATCAGCAGCTGAGCTAGCTACAGAGCCCAAGAGCCCTAGCTTCCTGCCCTGCTGCTGTAATCAGTCTTTCTTTCTTATTTAATTCCCTTAAAAAATTCGTGGTAGGCTGAAATCTCTGAGCTTCAGGCCACAGGTGGTTTTTTGGACAATACAAGTAATGCAATGTTTTCAGGGAGGTGGAGAAGGAATGAACACAAAACACTTCTTTGTGTTGGGATCTCTTGTTTTGCAGACACTCCTTGTTAGAAACAGTCACAGCCGGAACAGACTGAAATGTCTTCAGTTTAATTATTGTTTTACATAAAACTGTACATCCCCCACCCTCCAGGGAGTGTAGAAAGCCTGAGACAATTAGGAAAGTATTACATACAAAAATACTATTTACAGTGAAACAGGAAAGGGAGGTTGGAGGGGATCAGGGCTAGATTTTACCTATATCAGCAGTTCTTCTCTCTCTCTCCCATTTCACCCTTTCCACCTTGCACAAGCAAAGCTTCACTTTCAATATGCAAACAGAAGATCTCAGAGCACTTTTCTTGATCTGTGCAGTCTCTGAGCAGGAAAACCCACAGCTGATTTAACCCCTTCCCTTCTTACAAAAAAAATAGCACTCTATATGTGAGCTGTTCTCCCCTTCCACCCCACCAAAACCATTGCCCCTTGCTGCCACCAAAGGGGAAAGTTCCTCGCCCCCTCACCCCAAGCGAGCACCCAGGGCTGAATGTGAGCCTCTAAATGCCCCTCGCATCCTTGTATCCATCTAGCACGAAATGCCCTCTGCAGCTTTTGTGTTTTCGCCCATGCATACACACTGGCTATTCTTGGAAAAGACCAAACCACTCGCTGTTGGGCTGGAGAGAAGAATCAGTGCAGTGGTTCCAGAAGGCAGGGATGGTCTCTGTCTGGCTATAGCCATGCTAAAGCTTTGACCCTTTAAAAGCGGTCCTATGGAAGAGGTTAGGGCCCCCAGAGTCACTTCTGGTGTTACAAGTGGGCTATATCTAGCCTGCTTAGCCCCAATGTGATGGGTGGCTCCAAGCATCTAGGTCTAAGCTATAATTTGATGGGGTGAGGGAGGCTCCTGGCCCAATTCACATTTCCAGCTTGGTGGTTTCTCAGGGAAACTTCCCATTTCAGAAGCCTGATGCAAAGGACTCGGTGCCAGCAACAGGCACCAGGAAGGTTTAGACTCCCAGGCCCTTTGTGCAACAGAGTTCATGATGCTTAGGCCCCAGCAATCCCAATGCCGAGGCAACCCCTCCTCAGTGTAAATAGGGGGGTCATCCAACTTCAGCACTGGAGGTGAAAGGCCAGTCTGGCTTGCTTTCCTCCTGTGTGCATGGCAGATGTCTGTCCCCAAGCACTCAGAGGGGCCTGTTGCGGGCTGCTCAGTCATCCATGCAGTGGTGGGGTTCGAGTGCAGAGATCACCAGAAAATGCTCTGCTGGCGCTGGCTTTGGCTTTGGCGGGGAGAAGAGGAGCCCTCACACCAGCTCATCCAGGAGGGTCCCGATGCCTTGGTGGGGCTCTGTGGGGCCTGCAATAGGTTTGTTGCACATGGGGCACACGCAGCGCACTTCCAGCCATTTCACAAGACACCTGCGGGCCACAAGCAAAAAGACAGTGGGTGGGTGGCTCCCGCTCCCTTCCTCGGGTCCCTGGGCTCTTTTCCCAAGCACCAGGTCACCGAACCCATGGGGCTCCTGCCACTCACAGGCGCCCACCCTGAGGGCCTGATCCTTCTTTCTTCCTGCTCTACTCCCATTACCTTCCCTTGACTACCAAATTGCTGCTGCATATTAACCAGAGAGGGTCAGCCCTATGGAGCGCCTCTTGCTGAAGCACCCTGCCCTCTTACTAGTTTGGAAATGAGCTTCACAGAGAGAGGAAGAAACAGCGGGGACAGCAGGGACTCGGTGCTCCCGGGGGAATCTTTCTCCTTCCAGTGCCCAACCCGGTCCGTTCTCATGCTGATATTTGGAGCGGCTGAGATGGGAATCACCATACCAGGCTGGGTCTTAACCCTCCCAGGGAGTTGGCCATGCTGGCTCTGCAGCCAGGGAAAGCTTGGATGCTTGCTAAAAGCTAGACTGGGAGCGGATGATGAGGATAATATTGGGTGCACCAATTTTTTCCATCCAAGTTGCTGAAGGCTGCTCTTCAGCAGCCGGAGAGGGAGCAAGGTCCAGATGCTGGGTCTGTTACCACCCAGGAGTGACATGGGGCATAGAGCGAGCCTCTTGCACACTTGGAGCACATCTGTGGCGTCAGACCTCTACCTAATTGTGAGCATGAGCGGTGTAACCAAACAGCAGGCCTCCTGCCGACATGGGAGCCCAGAGCAAGCAGTGGGCTGTCCTTGGCAGCTACTCACTTTCTGTGGAAGGCATGTTGGCATGGCAACACTCCCAGCTCATCTTTCACTTTAAAATCTTCCAGGCAGACGGCACAGGTCTGCTGTGGGGAAACAGAAGGGGAGGGATGAACAGGCAGGACAAAGCATCATGACAAAGCTCAGGAAACAGTCTCCGAGCATTGCCTGCTGGCAAGGGACTCCCCCCTGTAGCTTCCCCCCTGGATGCTGCCAGAAACCCCAGTTTCACTGCTCAGGGTGGGCAGACTTACCCCTTGCAAGTTTAACTTCTTGGCATCACCCTTCAAAACCACCTGGAGGGCACAAGGGGAAAGGAGGCAGCAGATTAGTATCAGAAACAACTGGCAAAGAGGCCAGGGTGGTGATGAGAGTGAGTGTTGGGGTCGGGGAGCTGTCTTGGAGACAAGAGGGTGGCAGAAGTGATATCTTTGCTTAGGCCAACTAGGTATTTGCAAAAAAAAAAATCTTTATTTGCAAGCTTTTGGGCATGCGTGTCCTTCATCAGGCATAGGAGATTGCAAGGACTGTACAAGTTCTCCAAGGTAGAAAAGAAAATTCATATTTTACAACCAGGGTGAGCTGCACAGCTGCTCCCCAGGGTAGCCCTGGGACTGGAGTTAGTGGGGCAGGACTCACGAGTCTTGACAGGGCCTGGACTGGAAGAGCAGGTTGGGCGGCAGGTCAAGAACCAGGAAAAGCAACAATGCTGCCAGGATCGCAGAACCAGAATAGCCGGTCTGGCCGCACACCGACAGCTGCCAGGGGTCACAGATCCTGAACAGCAAGTGGGGCTGCAGGTGAGGCCTGCCCTCCACACGCCCACTCCAGCCGGCATTGCTATGCTCCCGTCCCTGGTTTCTCTCCCCAAATAACACAGCTTTTGGGACTGAGCAGCAGGCTTTGGGCAAAGAGCCTCTGAAACAGCTGGTCTTTTCCCTGCAGAGGGCAGCAACTGGCCATCTTGGCTTACCTCCCCTGCTTTACATTGTAATCGCTTATTATCGTAGAATCATAGAAGTAGGGTCGGAAGGGACCTTGCAGATCTTCAGGTCCGGCCCCCTGCCTGGGCAGGAGGAAAACTGGGCTCAAATGACCCCAGCCAGGTAGGCATTGAGCCGCTTCTCAAAGACCCCCAGGGAAGGAGCCAGCACCACTTCCCTTGGAAGTTGGTTCCAGATCCTAGCCACCCTGACTGTGAAGTAGTTCCTACGGATGTCTAATCTAAACCTACTCTCCAACAACTTGTGGCCGTTATTCCTTGTTATCCTGGGGAGTGCTAGGGGAAACAAGGTCTCTTATAGGTTGGCCTGTACCACTACAGACCTTGTTTCTCAGTGTGGCCGGTTTTCCCCTTCCACTGGCTCAGCTTTGACGCTTTTCCCGGCTCAGTGGCATTCGCCGAGCTGATAGCTCAGCCCTAAATGAAGCCAGAGGCCGATACATGGCTGCACTACAGCACTATTCCTCTGCAGCCACAAAGCCTGTATGCTAAGGAGGTAAGTGGAATGTAGGTACACTGGGTTCCCTGCACAGGGGTGACTTTTATCCTCTTGGGAACATATACTGGGACCCTGCCTCTGGAGAGCAGAAAGCAGCCCAGGAGCTGGTAGTGCAACCCTAGGTGTGGAACAGTCTTGCACTAATGTTATCCCTTGGATGGCTTTTTGACTTGTGCAGAATATAAAAATTGTCGGTCCTGCTCCTTATGGACCAGTGCCCCTCCCTGGCACTTATCTACCTACGTGTAAATACCACAGGCCCAGTGCTAAACTGTATGGGAATAAATGGAAATCAACCCCAGACTTTACCTCCTTGTATCCAAATCTCTCGCTCTGGGCCTGATGACGAAGTTTGCTAGGGAGGGAAAAAAATAATATATTCCATTATAAACTCCACTGTGCATAAAACAACGGTTCAGGCTAAGGGACACTGATAAAAGCTGAAACCAGTAAAACTCAGAAAAGACAGCACGTCTACCAGGAATGCATGTATCAGGAAATACAACGTATTTATCACCTACAAACTCACTAACACAATCGCATCATCCGTTCCCCCTCAAGCCCCAACCGACCACAGTCAGCAAAGTTATATTCAGGCTACCTTTGCTGCTCTGGCCTTCAGGCGAGTCTAACTGGACATGGGAATTTCAGCTGCATAATGAGAAAATCACAGCCACACCTGCTTTCTGCAGTAATCTATGGATGCAAAAATGCCCAAACTCCAGCAGAGGCACACGGGAAGCTCAGCTTTGGACTCTGGGATGGGACAGGGTTAGAATTAATCATGACCCATCACAACTTTAGCCATGAAAACTGTTTAGGATCTGGTAACCTCTGTCCAACTCATCTTGGGACGAGTGCTTATCTCACAGAAAAATAACTTTCCCATTTGCTATCAACAGGCCCCTTTGCTGCTGACTTGGCAGAGAAACCAAGGGCCAGGGAGAATGAGCTCCCTTCTTCTGGCTTCACCAAGATGATCACCCAAGGAAAGAAAGGATAATTGTATGAAAACTGTGGGACAATGAGTGTTTATTAAGTGACGGCACCCCAAATATATTTATTCATGGAGCAAAATCCTACACTGCAACCACAGTGAATGAGCCTTTTCATAGTCCTGGCTTGAGACTAGACCTCTTTCTGACCAAATCCATCATCGCTGGGCCTTACTGGATATGGGTCATAGGACATCAGGCCTAATAAGGGACATTTAAGGGACAAATAAGGGACATTTTTTATCATACAGGACAAGGGGGCACAGTTGAGGCACATTGACAGGGGCAGAGTATGAAGGATGCTGCCTGCTCAATACTGGTCCCATGGATAAATGGGCAACTCCAGAGTTGTCAGTCCAGAACCCTTTGCCAATACTAAAGTCAATATTAATGCTCCCATGCTGCACATGTCTTTAAATTGGCTCAAAATCAGATTGTCATGGTTAACATTTACAAGTCACTTTTTTCACTTTTGAGGATCAACCCTGCTCTCTGCCTTCCTCAAAGCTGAACCCCAGGCGGAAACAGTAAAATACTTCCAGTGTAGGGTGCTGCCATTTGGGGAAGCCTGACGAGAGATGCCTTGGGCCTGCTCTGGCATACCAGCCCCTGCATTTCAGGTTCACTTCAGCTAGAATAGTTTTTGCTGAAAATTGGGTGCCTCGTGAAGGGCATCTTTGCAATAGGAGCCTCTAAACTCAAAGACTGGCCTGTGGCACTGTAGCTGTGGGGACTTGTTTAAGGTCAGGGGTAGGGAGCAATGCCAGAAGGAGCAGAACTGATAACCCCACATAAGCACAGGGACCACAAAGCCAGGACTCTCCATTGGCCAAATCAATCTGAGTCCATGTCTCTTCCCTGCTCTGAAAGAGAAACCTCTGATCCAAAGGTGCTGCCAGGAAGGGGGTTATTTCGGTCATTATTTCTTCTTTGCATTTTTCCCTTTTCATTGCAGCAGCTCAGAGGGTTTGGGAAGGGTGGGGGGGGAAGGCACTGAGCTTGCATTCACTGCTTACTTCTGTTTTCCAAAGGCAGCCAGCTTATGACTGATCAGAGCCTAGCGTCTCCTGAAATATCATCAGGAATTGGAGGACAGGGCCCGATAAGATCATGCAGCCTACGGCCCTAATTGTTTCACTTAGGAAGTAGTTAGAGTTCCAGGAAGCGCTGTATTTCCAGAGCAATGCTGACCCGCCAGCAGCCGCTAAGCCTGGCCTGGCCCTGACCTTGGACTGAGGATGGGGGTGGTCAGCACTTTCACAGGACTCCAGGGGGACACGATGTATGGCGGTGATAAAAGAAACTCCCAGCCCAGTGCAAACTTCTCGCTTGTTTGTCTCCCCTGCCAGCCAGGCCTGGAGAAATGCTGCCACCGGCCCCACAGATGTGGAAAAGCTTCTTGGCTGGGGGATACCCTTCCATTATCTTGGCTGAGCACCGCGGGAGCCTGGGAGGTCCATTCCCCCAGCGACTGAGCCGTATCGGTAATTTGTACATTGCTTCCCTTCCTGCTGCCAGACTCTTGCAAACTGGATCCAGCCCCAGAGGGAGAGGAGGGCTGCTCTGCAAACACCCAGTGGCTGTGGGGGGGAGGCCCAGTGGCTGGGAACATGTAGTGTGAACTGATAATACTTTCACCAGGGACAGAGTGACCCCCCCTGGATCATGGGACAGCAGGCTTTCTCTTCCTGTTCACTCCTCGCCTGCTTTGATCCATGCACATGGAGCCAGCTCCTTTGGGGTAGAACAGGGCACCGTACCTGGTCCCCCCGTCCCCCAGTTTTTACAGCCTCCTCGCTGCTCTCTTTGCTCTAGTCTAGGACATCAAACTCTCACTTGCCCCCAGCTGCTGTCCTGCAATGAACAGGGAACTATTTCCCTGTTGAGTTACAGATCTCCCACCCACAACTCGAACTGCAAACAAGGGCCAGGACTACCTGGCTCACACCACCTCCACGTGCAGGATGATCACTGCTGACAACATGAATCTAACCCCCCATGTCCATACCTATGCATGTCCTCTGTGCCTGTGCCGTGAGCCTGGAGTCCATATATGCTCCTGCACAGAGCCCAGGCCTCTACATCTGGAGATAAAGGAGTCAGTAGTAGGCTGTTATCTTCCAGTGAACCAGCCACAGGAAGGAGGGACGTAAAACAGCACGGAGGTCATCTTTATTTTCATTGTGAGTTAGGGGAGCAAAATGTCAGGTATTCCTATGGAGAGGTAGGGGTGGCCGGCCCGAGGTTGTGTGCTTCTGCCTTGGCTGCATCTCATTACATGCAGGCCTGTCTCCCAAGGTCTTAGCTTATTCCCAGCCTCCAAGTAAATGTGAGGCAGCAAAGGCCTGAAAACCCCTGCCCCACTCTCGCCCACCCCCACGTGCGCACGCACACAGACAGAACGTCCTTTATGTGCTGCCGTTGGGAGCAGAGGAACAGCTGCAGAAACAGCCCGCTATCAACCAGAATAATTTCCCAGGCAACCTCTGTCCCCATGCACCCCCCACGCACACAAGCCAGATGAGACAACCAGGCTCATTATCCAAGCCACAAAAGCCCGGAGTCCCTCAGCACCTCCTCCAAACCCAGCGCCCTTTTGTCTATTTGCTTTTATTAATGAGAATGAAAATGCTAGGCTGAAGCAGAAGCTGGGGCAGAGGGACAGGTCCTAGCCATGGCCTCTTACAATGAGCGAGCACTAGCCAAAGGCACAGTGCTCCCTTAAGCAGCACCCTAGGGAGCAGATTTTGGGGAAGAAGAGGTTGTGATACCAAATCTCAGTGCAGAGGCTGTAGGGCACATTTAAAAGGCAGCTACTGCTCTGCCAGGGGCTGGAGACTTGGGCCACAAAGGTTGAGGAGTGGACTGACTCCACCTCTCTGCTGGGGAGACCTTGGTTTCCTATGGGTTGGTTTCCCCCTTTCAAAGAACAAAGACTCTTTTGGACCTCATCCACAAAGGAAGCTATCACTGCAGGACAGAGAGGGGCCCAGCAGGGCTGGGGAGAGCCCAGGATGGAAATAGCTGCTGATTCGGACAAGGGTGCAAAGCCAGGGCCTCGAGGTCCGGGGCAAGTCAGGTGCAAGAAGCATCAGCAGTGCTGGTAGAGCCCAGCAGTGAAGTCTTGAATTCAGCATTGCCTAATCCGCTGAGTCCTTTCCAGAAATCCCAGCTGCTGCTACACTTAGTGTTTAAAAATAGCCTGCTTTTAATAGGCAAGGGTAATGTAAAGATACATCCTCTCACTGTATGCCACAGCATCTCCCCCTTCCCTCATAAACAATGCATCCATCTCGCTCGGTCACCTGAATAATACGAACCCCCTTCCTGCCGTTTCCTGCTCTGCTCAGTCCGTTCTGTACTCAGATGGAGCCCTGTTGAGACTGGGATTTTGGCTTGGCTCAGAGCCCTGCAGGGAGCTGATTGTTTAGTCCTTGGGGGAATGGGGCGACTGCTCCTGGCAAATGGTTCCCAGCAGGTTACGGAAATAAACAACAGAGGCACTGGCAAGGAGTTTGCTCAAAGCAGGGTTAGACAATGTGGTGCTCGAACTGCCTGGGTCTACGGACGTTCCTGCTCCCGATTGTGCTCCTCTGCCTGGAGCTGCTGGAAAAGTCTATTTTAAAAGATTTACCCCAGGTCCAGCCAGGACAAAATCTAGGGGTGCTGATTCTCACATCCAGGCTGGAACTACTAGCCCACCCCTCTTTCATGGGTTCATGTGTCCACGCAGCCTTGGACATAAGTATGTGAGTTGTCTCGGTGGCCATCAACAGAGGGGATGCTCCCGTTCACCTGTTTTTGCCGCTTGTCTATCTTGGGGATTTGTATTTGAGGCAGGAGAAGTGCTCCTTTCCGGCCCTGGGCATGGGACGTGTCAGTGTGTTGTACAGGGCCGAGGAACAGCTGCCATTCCCAGAGGTGACACATGGAGGGATCAGATGACAGAAGAAACCTCCAAGAAGAGAAGGGAAACTGCTGTCACAGGCAGCTCTGGAGATGAGAGCACCCTGGGGATAAAATCCTCATGCCTGCCAGATTCTCTTCCAGAAACCCTCTCCCAGATGCCATCCTTTGCTGGGGAGAGCTCCCCCAGGTATTATTCTACCTGCCAGGCCAGGGGGAATACAGGGTTAACTCCAAAAGATCTGTAACACTAGTCATGCTCTGAAGCTCAAGACAGATTGATGGGCCCTAGTGACACACATGAGATTAATTTCTTCTAATTTGCTTAATAGAAATAATAGATCTCAGAATATGACTGGAGGCGACAGGCAGCCTTTGGGAGGCTATTAGAGGCTTCTAAAAATAGTCCCCGGTCTCTCCGATGAAGCTAGTGCTATATCCAGAATTTCTCCAGAGTGGGTGACCTCAGGGTCAGCTCCTTTGCTGTCCACCCTGTCTCTCTCTACCCCACAGACACAGATCTGTGACCTTATAACCATGGGGCTGATCATTTGGTTCCCTGGGGACAGAAGGAGATGGAATGATTGCTCTTAACCAGTGGCTCCCAGCAGGGGTGGGGGGACACAAGGAGGGGAGGTAATTTTTTCAGGTGTTACCCCATCAAAACACAATGGTAGAATAGTGTGCTTTGTTAAGGCTACCCCCTTAAAGGGCACAGACAGCAGCAGACCTAGTGCCTGACCCATCTTTTTCTGTTTTGCTTTTTGCAAAAGCCTGGAAGAGCAATGGAGCTCCCTCTATAAGCTGTCATGCTCTGTAAAAAAAAAAAAGAAATAGCAGCACTACCAGCTGGGAATCATTACTGACCCTTACAGTAATGAATGAGTGTGTGCATGCGATGGAGGATGAGTTTGGTAAGGAAACAGGAAAGGCATTTTTATAGCCAAGCAAAGTGAGAGAGAGAAGCACTCCTCTCCGTAGGAGAGAATATCAAACCGACTCCATGAATTGGACCTTTCTAGGGTCAGAGATTAGCAAGGGTAAAATAAGGCTAAGTCAGCTGGCAGCAGTGACAGAAGTTATTGCAGCTTGATCACGACTTACAGAAGTTCTGCTCGAAGCCCCACCACTTCCTAGAGTCGTGCATGGCTGCACAACTCAGTTTTTCTTTAAAATAAGAATTTCCAACCAACCAACCTGATGCTACTGTCTTCAGGCCACCCAAAAGACAGTGGCAAGAGTGATACTTCTCCAGGAAGCACCAGCTGATAAATGGGCTCCCTGCACCCTCCTGCAGTGAGTGTCTGCAGAGCTCAGCAGTTCCCCAGCTCACCTGATGAAGTAGCAGCAGAAGATGAGGCTGAGCACAAAGACGAAGATGCCAGTGCCAAAAATGACCATGTAGATGTTCAGAGGCAGGTCCTGGAAGGTGATCGGAGGCATTGTGCACGATTTATTGGTATAAATCAGCCCCAAACTGCAGAAGCATCCTTTCGGGGAGAGAGAGAAACAGCCTTTACCATCAAGAAAGGGATGCGGAAGAGACGAGGGAGGCAAAGAAAACTTACCCTTTACTGCAGCATGCACAAGGGAAATATATAAGCCTTAATCTTCATTTTGGGGTACAGAATTTATGGGATGGAAGGTGCAATTGCTGTCCTCTTGTCACATGTTGGGTCCTTCACTGGGTCTGATACATGGAGGACCTAACCCTGATACCCAGCTACAACTCAGTCTGCTGAGACTCATGTATCAGTCTTGGGAGCTCTCCCTTCACATCTCTCTGGTGTACTAGGTATCTCATCACTGAGATGAATACACTGTTTGTGGGAAGGACAGGCCTAATTCTCCCTCTAGCCCTTGAGCAGCTATTCCCTTGACTTTCCCTTCACTGCATCATAAAGAGTAGCTAGGCAGAGAAAAGTGACTCTAAAATTGGCCTCTGCTTCCCTGGCATCTCTCTGCATCCTGTTAGTCTCTAGTCCCATCTGCTCTCTTCATGGCTCTTTCTCCCCCTAGCTCTAACCCAGATACAGGAGAGCAAACTAGTGTCTGTTCTGCCCCACTGCAACCTCTAAAGAACTGCCTATGCCAATGCATGGCAGACTCTTTACCAGAGGAGCAGAATTGATATTTTGATCCCCAAAGGACTTTGCAATGTGGGCAGAAAATAAAACCAAGCATCATCTTGCGACCTGTAAATGGAAGAGTCCTGCCCTGAAGTTGTCCGAGAAAGAAATGCACAGCCCTGCTGTATCCTGTTTACAGCTGGTTTTATGATGATTACTGCACCTTAGACATGATACCTCCATCTCAATGAGAACATCCCATAAGGGATGTGAAACCTGGCAGGGGTTGTTGGGGACTACCCAAAGAAAGACACCTTTTTTCCTACCGCTTCTGGATTCTCAGCCTAGCACTGTTGTCAGCACTTCCCACATCCACCTCTGAGCTTCAGGGGCAGTGATCTGAGTCCTGGGAGTTGGCTTGCGGACTGGCTTGCCTTGCGTGATCCCTCGCACCTGCCATAAATTCCCAGTGTCCTGTCCTGAGCCTCAGGTTGCATCCCTGATTCTGC